TGTTGAAGTTAAAATGTACCAGAAATGAAAGACAAAATAATTCTTGAATATCCATAGTTTGTATACTAAAATACGGAGAAATCCTATACCTTGTAGCATTTAATGTCCTGTTTCTCCAGAGCTATATACAAGTATGTATATGCTATCCCTTATGCTACCACTCCAAATTTGCCTTTTAACGTCAGTATTGGTTTTTGATAATTTTGAAAAGTAAATTAAGGAGAATTTTAATGCTTTGCTTCTAATTATTTTTCTATGATCATTTTCAATGATCTAGGCGCATTTAGGGAAGTCAGCACAATATAGCTGATACAACAATATCTTCTTAAAGTGTAAAATAAAAATGATGTAGTGGTAAAGAGATCATGTTTTTGAGCCGGAATCTCTTACTTCTACCTTTGGAACTTGCCTCTGGCACCTACCTGTGGCAATATATTGACCTCTCACTGGGCTTCCTGGTCCATCACTTTAACAAGAAGACTGTGTTTGTTGTTTTGAAGACTAAATGAGAAAATGTAGGAGGCCCACAGGAGTGACATGCATGTGATACATACTCAAAAATACTTACTATTTTTATCTCATAGATGCTGCATATTTTCTGTTTTACAAATAAACCTCCATGAAATTGTCTGTTACAAGTGTCACATCGAATATGTGACCTACTTAACAGGACTTTTTTGAACCTCAGAATTTATGTTTGGTTTGCACTGCATTTTACAGGCAGTAGCATCACTGTTGACCAAGCTGGAAGGCAAGAAAAGCAGTATTAAGAAAGAGAGGGCAAACACCTGAAAAACCCACCTATGGGATAATCCTTCTCTGAATAATCAGTGTGACTGAGTTGTGTTTGAGGAAAGATGTCAGATCAGTGGATTTAGTGCAGCAGCCAAGAAAAAAATCCTTCTCGTAAAAGGCTCATTTTGGGCTTATTTGCTGAATTATATTTAAAATACGCCATTTGAATTGTGCCACAGTTTTGCTGTTAGAGCTTGGTGCAGAGAAATAAATATAGTTTTCTAAGAATATCTTTGAAGGTAACATAATAACAAGCAGGATTTAAACTTATTTGCTCTAAATTACAAATACCTGCAGCTATTTTATTTAACAGAAAATAAATAAAGGTGTGTGTGTGTGTCTGCATATGTGTGCATGTGTGTCTGTGTTTGAGTGTGTGTGTGTGTTTGTGTCTGTGTGTGTATAACCAGGCAGTTCTTCTGACAGATACAAATGCAATACCTGTCAGATAGCATTTAAGGTAGCTGCAGATGTATAAATTAAAAGCTCTGATCTGTTCTTCTGTTTACCTTGTCAATTTCCCAATAGAGCATCCTACTTAGCATTTTCTCTGCCTTCCTTATTTGCATATTAACATAAAGCATGAGAAAAAGCTTCATTTGGACTTGAGGTTCTGCTCTGTTTTGAAAGGATAATTTTTAATCTTGTAACATTTTTACTTCAGTTCTGATTTATTTATTTTATACCAACTAGTAGATAAAAGGTTTCAAAAGAGTTACTTTACTCAGAATTATTATGAAAAAGAATTTTTTACTCTTGCCACAAAAATAATAAATTTTATTTTCCTCTGTAGTTATAGAAACAGTTTAAACTTATTAGTAAGCATTTCCATAATGAGTGTATCTGCATTTTCCAAAATAAATTTTTGTGTTTACTAAAAAAACTGAATTTTTTCTTTCCAATATTATATAAATAATATGTATATATAAAACTTCTCATATATACATGTGAACATAAAATGTATTACAACATTTTACTTAATGGCATGTTCATTTACCTTTGTCATTTTGCTGTCATAAATCACTCGACATTTATAATCTTGATTATTACTTAAACTAATACTGCCTTTGTATGGGTGTTTTGAGGTATCTCATATTTTGTTGCTAAATGACAATGCTGTAAAATTTAGTGCTACATTAATTATTTTCCTATTATGATAGGAAAAACTTAAGTATTTGTGATTTCTTTGAAAACATTTAATTATTGGTGATTAAGCAGAATTTTACATGTTTTCAGCTACTCTCTTGTTTATGTCTTCACTTGTTTCCCCCTATTCTAGGACATGAATTTTGTTTGGTTTGTTAAGCTCACCATACCTTATTTTGAGAAAAAAATGCAACAAATTTAAATACAATACACAGCCGGGCATAATGGAACATGCCTGTAATTCCAGAGGCTTGGTAGGCTGAGGCAGGAGGATGATGACTTCAAATCGAGCCTTAGTAACTTAGCAAGGCCCTAAGTAACTCAGTGAGACCCTGTCTGTAAATAAAATACAAAAAAAGGACTGGAGATGTGGTTCAGTGGTTAAGTGCCCCTGGTTCCACTCCCCAGTGCCCGCCCCCCAAAAATCACATAAAGCTAAAATTACAAGTTATTAACTCTTTGGCTTCTTATGTGTTGTATTTTACCTTTTTTGTCTGCCTTCAAATCTGCTTGTTCATTGGAATAATTTTTTTTGTCTTTTATAAAAACTAATCAAGACTACCATTATACTTTTTGTTATGGAATCTCCCTTCACTGTATGTTTGGAATTTTATATCCTGAACTAATGCCAAAAAAATTAAACATTGTTTTATAATATTAGATCTCAGAGGTTTCATTTTTAGATAGTTCTTATATTTGATTGATTCTTCTTAAACCTTCATTGGCTTGGCCATAGTTAAGGTTACTTTCATAAGATGACAAGAAGAAAACTATGAGTGGATGATTAGTTAGGGTATCTCTTTTTGGAAGGTCATTAATTTAAAGGTTAATTAAAAAATTAAAGAAACAATGTACGTAAATAGTTATTTCTATTATGTTAGTTATCATTATTACTGGTACTCCTTTTCATGTCACTAGCAATGAAAGCCTGCAGCACTACACCATCGTTCCCACTCTATGGGTATTTTTTTTTTTTTTGTTACTAGAGATTGAACCCAGGGGCACTTAACCACTGAATCACATCCCCAAACACCCTTTTTTATTTTATATTTTGAGACAGTGTGTACCACTAAGTTGCTGAGGCTGGCTTTGAACTTGTGATCCTCCTGCCTTAGCCTCTTCATCATTGGAATTATAGGTGTGCGTCATCATAGCGGGTCCACTTTTCAAATAGAAGAGTGGTTGGAGAGCTGTGAAGACAGACACTGGGCATTTGTACCAAAGGGTGTTCTGCTTACTTCTTTGGAATATACACTTCATCTAAGTTAATGAGTTTGCTTTATTTAAATAGAATTTCTTAGGTTTGTTCTCTTGCTTTTCTTCATGTAAAACTTGTTTGGAGGGTGGAAGTTCAGGTATACCTTATGAAGCATTCATATTGTTTGTATGTTGAAATCTTATAATATATTAAGTTTTCACCTTTTTACTGATAGGTGAAATAGAAGTTATCAGTTAATGTAGGTTGAATTTAACTAAAAGTCAAGACAGCAAATTATTCAAGTAGAGCCACAGGTTCCCAAGTTCAAATACAGTCTCTCCAAGCAACTTAGTCTCAAAATATAAAAAATTAATAAAATTTAAAAGAGGGCTGGGGGTGTGGTTCATATACTCCTGGGTCAATCCCCTATACCAAACAACAAACAAAGTATATGAAAAATGAAAATTCCAGAAATGATAATTATTCTAGTAACTAAACTAAATTTATATTGACAATTATATTTAGTTGATTTTGCAATCTTTAAAGAATTTTTATATATTTAATCTTGAAAAGAATAGTTTTCAGTCTTCTATTGATATTAACATATATAAAAGGTAAAATAAGCTTTCTGAAACTCTAATACACAATAAAAATGAAATTAATCTTTAAACAAAAGGTTAATTTCATATTAATATAATCCTGAAACAATAAAAAGGCTTAAATAAAAAGTTCTTAAGCTATGTATTTTAATTCTAGAAAATGCATCTTACATATAGTTATATGCCCTGCTTTGCAGCTTAGCAACTATGATATAAGTTCCCTTAACAAAGTTGATTGTGAGAAATTACTATTTCTGTCTTTATATGTTTTTCTCCTCCTTCTAGATTCCCCAGGAATCTAAGAGTCTGGTTAATGTTTAAGGTATCTGTAGCCGGCACAATCCTACCTCCTTAGAAAATAACTAAAGCTTAATGAAAAAAAATACAAAGTACAGCTCCAAGGTGTAGGTGTGTGTTATCTTTTCAATTATCATTGGTGAAGCAATTATTTTCCCTACTGCACTCTGTGAAGTCAGTAACATTTGTAGCCTGAATGCAACTTTGCAAAATGTTCTACCTAAACCAGGTAGGCAGATGTGATAAATGGTGTGCAGGAAAGGTTTTCTCCTAACTCAGTGACTTGAGGTAATTTGGATTTACTAAACTGGGTAACATCATACAGCAATATTTTGCACACAATGATATTATTATTTAAAGCTGTGCATATTTCCATGTCTGCCTTGTGCACTTTTTTTTCTTTTTTATGGTACTGGGCTGAGGATTGAACCCAGAGCCCCAGGCATGCTTGATGTGCTTTATCCTTCTGAGTTACATTCCAAGCCCCTGTTATATGCATTTTCTAATTGATATTCTTGTCCAAAGACTGAAGCCCTTGATACATAGGAGGTATTCAGTGAATAATAATAATTATTATTATTATATTTATTTATTATTATATTTAATAATAATATTATAATAATATGATATAATATAACATAATAATAAATGTAATAATAAATTAATTAATTATTATATTTAATAATTATTATTATTATTAGGTATTGTGGATTGAACCCAGAGGTAGTTAAAAACTTAGCCAAATCTATGGTTCCCCCCCCAACTATTTCTTTGAGACAGGGTTCACTAAGTTGCTTAGGGCCATACAAAACTTCTGAGGCTGCCTTCGAAATTATGATCTTCCTGCTTCAGTTTCCTGAGCCACTGGGATTACAGGCATGTGCTACCATGCCCAGTTCAATACATAATTTTTGAATAAAATACACAAAGTTCTGGAAGTTTTAGAAAAATGATACTACCTTATTTCTTGAAATGCCAGTATTTTATTTGTCATATCCAAGTTTTTAGCAAGAGTCTTCAAAGAAAACCAAAGCACATCTTGGTCATAATCCTCAGTCACACAAAAAGTTGTTCAAATGGCAAGTAAACAATTAGTCACTGACATCTCCTAATCTCCTTGGATTTTCTCTCTTCAGGAGGAAAGTCAGAAAGAGAAAAGGATTGTAAGTATGCTGAAACATATTCTGCAAAGATGTTATTGCCTCATAGATTAAGGCTCAACTACATCACTCAGACTGAGGCTCAGCCACATCAGAGTCTTCCTCCTTAAATTACAGGAATGCAACTTGCTTGTGTCCTGATAGGGTAGTCACTTCGAGCTAGAGCTGGAGGTGTAGACTTTCCTCTGGTGGGATTTGTTTCACCACAGTATACAAGTAATGACTAACTAAATATTCTATTTTAGAGGATGATAATAAGCACTCAGTGTATCTTCTGATAAAAGAGCACCAACTTCATCATGAAAACTTTACCCTTATAACCTCATCTAACCCTAATGACCTCCCAGTGGCCCCTACCCCCGATATCATCACATTAGGGGGCTCAGTTAAGTCTGAATTTTGGGGAGACACCTTTAGTCTATAACAAACATTTTAGTTGATTGAGAACATTCCAAATTAGATCATTACTTTTGCAGTTATTACAGAAAATACTAGGTGGCAAAGGAGTACTTGTATAATAGTTTAATCAGAATCTGAAAAGAAGAATGCAAACTATATTGAATGATATATACTATGTTATTTTGAGACTATATATATTGTAACTTTTCTGACAATGGGCACATTTTATTCTCTTTAATAAAACAATATCATCAGTAACAAATGAGAAAAAAACTCTTTAAAATTGAGAACTACCCAATTACCAGAATAAGTGATGTTTCATTCTATTTGTAAGAAAACTCATTATACTAGGAAAGTAATAGCTGGTTGCTAAATGGACTTTCTTGATTTGAAGTAACATCTTGAGCCCGAAATGTTAGAAGGTCAGGAAAAATAACATCTGTAGAAATTAGAGAAATGCAAATTAAAACTACTGAGATTTTCATCTCACTCCAGTCAGAATGGCAACAATCAAGAATATAAGCCACAATAAATGTTGTTAAGGATGTGGGGAAAAGGGTACCCTCATACATTGCTGGTGGGACTACAAATTGGTGCAACCACTATGGAAGGCAGTAGGGAGATTCTTCAAAAAACTGGAAATGGAACAACCATTTGACTCAGTTATACTACTCCTCAGTATATATCTAAAGGATTTAAAATCAGCATAATACAGTGACACAGCCACATCAATATTTATAACAGTTCATCTCACAAAAGCTGAGCTATGGAGCTAAACAAGGTGTCCTTCAACAGATATATGGACACAGAAAATATGTTATGTTTACATAATGAAATATTACTCAGTCATAAAAAGAAGGAATTAGCATGGTATTTGCACAAAAATAGACATGAAGACCAATTAAACAGAATAGAAAACATAGAGACAAACCCACATATATACAATTATCTCATACTAGACAAAGGCACCATAAACATACATTGAAAAAAAATAGCCTCTTCAATAAATAGTGCTAGAAAAACTGGAAATCCATATGTAGTAGAATAAAATTTAATCCCTATCTCTCACCATGCACACAGCTCAGCTCAAGTTGGATCAAGGTCCTAGGTATTAGACCAGAGACCATGTTTCTACTGAAGAAAATATAAGGCCAACTCTTGATCATGTCAGCTTAGGAAACAATTTCCTTATGTGGAACCACAAGAATAAGGTCCTAATTAGAATAAGATTAAGATATATATATATATTTTTTTCTCAAAATACATGCTACTGTAATATATATCTAAACAGAGCCAATAAAAAACAAACAAACTTGTTATTGGAGCTTTTGCATCACTGGCGAATACTACATGAAATAAACTGTGGGTTTTATAACTAAATACAATTCTGAACCTCTTGGTAGAAATATTAGTGAGCATGTACCCTGGGTTTTCTAGAACTATCTTGGTTTCTTGTAATTTTATTTTATTTTTCAATAAGGTAAATTCATTCATAAAAAGAAATAGTGTACATTTTATCCCCCTTATTCAGTTTATTCACTTAGATTTTGTTCAATTGTGTGTAATATTTCCTACCTCAGATATATGCTATCATTTAATTGTTCCTATTTGGGATACCTAGTTTAGATTGATTAGTGCTACCTAAACACCTAGAACCATAATTAAATTTTTTTTAATTTATTTGTGTTTGAAATATGCAAAAATACTGATTTCTAATAGAAAGAAATTGAAAACTTATTAACTTAAATGACAATCAAATGAGTTAAGTTCATTGCTGTTTTAAAGACAGAGCTACAGGACTATGTTTTCATCTATTAGGAATTAATTACTATGATAATTTCCATTCTACTTTAAACAAAAAATGCAACAAGTTATGAATCTGGAGACAAGTGGACATAACAGAATATGAGAGACTTTAGGGAGGAAGATCCAGAGATATTAGAAATAGAATAATAAACTTTCAAAATGATGCAAAGATAAAAAAGAAATAAACATATTCTCAGTGACCTGTGGAGAAATATATATCATGTAATCTAATATTTCTATAATTGGATTCCAGAAATACAGGGGGAAATGATAAAACAAAGAAACAAAACAAAACAAACCCAAAATGGTGTCTAGAGAGTTCTTTATGATTTACAAAAACTATAACCCAGAGATCAAAGATGCTCAACAAAAGCCATGTGGGGTAAACAAAAAAGGAACACCAGATCACGAAATATCATCAAAGTGTAAATAGTCAATAATAAAAAGAAAAATCACAAAATAGCCTAAGAAAAACATAATATAGAAAAATAAAATATTGGCAGACTTCCATGAAAGTTTATATTAGCAGAAGAAAATGGAATGGCATCTTTATAGTGGTATTAAAAGAAGAAAGAAAAGAATAAACAACTAGCAATTTCAGCTACAGACAGAGAAACTGTCTTTCAAATATTCCTTTAATGTGTCTTAATATGAAACATTTAAAATGCACTAAAGCTAAGAGAATGTAGTGACCACAGATCTCACTCATAAAGGAAGTTCCTCAAAAATTAGAAAAAGAAGAGATGGGAGTATGGACCACAAATGAAAAAAAATCAGTCATCAGAAACAATAATAGTGTGACTATGTATTGGCAATTTTTCTCATTTTTAATTTTATTCAAAGAGAACTGTCTATAAAAACACATAATAACAATATATTTTGGAGTATATAATACATGCAGAACTAAAATATGCAACATAGGTAAGACAAAAGATGCAAAGCAGAAATGGACAATGAGGTAATGAGGTTTGTACCTTAAATGAAAACTAGTATCATGATTTTCAAAGATAAATTACAGTAAGTTAAACATGTGTGAATGTATACCTAGAATTACCAAGATAAATAATAAAACAGAATGTATCTTATCAACCACTGGTGGTGATAGAATAAAATAAAAGAAGGCAAGAAAATATAAAATGATAAAGAACAAATAGAATAAATAAAATCACTTCATGGTAGATTTAAATGCAGCTCTATGGATAAATATGATTGTATATTAATAGTGTAAACAATCAATTTATAGCTGTGCAGGATGCTGAGACAGGAGGATCACTAGTTCAAAGCCAGCCTCTGCTGTGAGGCCCTAAGAAACTCAATGAGATCCTGTCTTTAAATAAAATATAAAAAAGGGATGGGGATGTGGCTTGGTAGTTGAGTGACCCAAGGTTCAATCCCTGGTACCAAAAAAAAAAAAAAATCAATTTGTAAGTTAGATTGTGAAACTGAACCAAAGCAAATGAAACAATAAAATTAAAATAAACAACAACAAAAACAAAACCCTAAGAAATTAAAGAAACCCACTTTAAATATAAAGAAAATACAGAAACATGAAAATGAATTTCAGAAATAGTACAATTTACTTCTTCCAAAATATAAAAGAGGAATACTCCCTGACTTATTTGATTAAATCAGAATTAACTTAATCACAAAAACTAGAGTAGCTGCATAAATATCAAATAAGTAGATTTCTGGTGTTCCTGATAGGAGACATTTGAAATTGCAAAATGAATCAATTCATCAAAAATCCAAAACTCCTAAATACAGGTTCCTACTAACAGAACTTCAAAGCACATAAAACAAAAACTGAGAGGACTTGAAAAAAATATAAAAATCTGCGATTATAATTGACTATGTCAGCCCTCTTGTTGCAGGAATTAATAGAACAGTAGACAAGAAGTCCATATATAGAAAGTTTGAATAATACCATTGAAAAAACTGATCCACTTGCTATTCATAGAACTCTGCTCAAAAGCATTAAAAAGCAGACATTCTTTTAAGGTCAAATGGATCATTCACAAACACATGACAAGTCTCAAGAAAATTAAAATGTGCAGACAAACACATGACAAGTCTCAAGAAAATTAAAATGTGCAGGACATTAAAACTAACTTGGTGAAAACTAAAGACTTCTTGAAGATTAGGGCCAGGCAAAAATATCTTTTCTATATATCTTCTGCTTTGTATTGAATTGGGTGTTGGGAATGTTCAACACTCTAGTCGTGATGAGAGTCACACAACTGTGTACATTTGTCAAAACTCACTAAGTTGTAAAATTAATTCAACTGCATGTAAATTAACACAATAAAGTTGATTGAACACTGAAAATAAAAGACAATAAGGAACATTTCCAAATGTCTTTATAAAACACAAATTTAAAGAGGCAAGGTAAGAACTGAGAGTCTAGGAATGCCAAACTGAAATGGGACAGAAATATAAGAAACTGTGACTAACTTATCATGTCATATACAAATTTTAGAGATCACTTTTCTGTTTCTATTTCTTATTCTTCTCTTCTTCCTTCTATTTTTAAAAATTTTCTCACATCAAAATTTTAATGACCTTCGCTTTAATTTTATTGAAATATAATGTATGTAGAGAAATGTGAAAAAAAGTGTTAAAGAACACAGCTCAGTGAAATTTCACTAAATGAACCCATGTGTAACTGAGACCCAGATTATTAAATATAGTTTTCCAGTACCTGAAGATCTCCCTTGTGGTAGTTTTTTCTGCTTTGGGCACTTGTGAATAAAGAATGTTTCCATCATCTCTCCAAGATATTGTGTACCTCTTCGATATTTTAAAAATATAAACTACTTTAAAATTTCTTCTTAGTTTGTACTGCTAGCAGCAGTTCCCCATGAATGAAACATTAAGTTTGACTAATATATCCACTTGGAAAATGCTGCATTGAGATACCCGGTCCATGAATTATATTTCAGTAATTTCAGTTTCTGTGCAGAGAGAGAAAGAACAACTGAATCTGGGAAAAAGATGTTATTATGGCTGGTATTAAAAATATAGCATCTTATAGATAAGAAATGGTTGATTATGAGATTCCATTTACCAACAACTGAGGAAAATAGAGGTTTAGAAAGATTAAATAATCTGCCCAAGATTCCTCAGTTAATAATGAGCAGAAACAAAATATCTTCCAAATATTTTATTCCAAAATTAAGACTTTTTCCAAGTTTATATATAATGTAATGAGATTTTAGTTTCATCATGGTACTGGTAAATATAAAACACCACTATACCTTACAACAGGATTTATAAAATGTGTATGTATTTATGATAACAATGCTCAGTTTACAAAATAACTCACAGATATTTTTGTTTATAGAATTTCTAAACCATTGAACTCATAATAAGAAAGTATTTACCTACATATTTTTATTTCAAAAGAAGAAATTTTTTAGGACATTAAAATGTAATATAAAATTAAATTAGCTTGTTTGTCTGACAGATTATAATGATAGCAAAAGTCAGAATGAATGCTATTTCTGGAGGTAGATGGAAAAGACATGTGATCTTATGTAGCACAGTGAATAGCTTAGAATGACTAATGATTTTATACAACCACCTGAAAGTAGTAAAGTGTGAATTAAAATGTCTTATGTTTGATGCAGTGTCACATTTCAGACCTGAATGCATGACTTTAATTGGACTGTGCCTAGTTATGGAAACTATAATCTGCGTCATTCAACAATACAAGCAATGTTAACAGAACACGTCCTTTTATTTCTTAAAATCAGTTATTAAATGTGAGTAAAAGAATGACAGCCCAAAATTGGTAATTTTATTTTGTTTTCAGTAATACTGAAATGAATATTGATTCATGTATTCTTTTACATGTGAAAGCAACAGAAAGAAAACATCCTAGGTATTAAAAGGCTTTAAAAATATGATTTCTAAAAAAATGAAAAATGGTTTTTAACTATGTGTAATAGTTTTAACTATGTCCAATAGTCCAATGTTTGCACTAGAAGAATCTGGGTGAAGAGTATACAGAATTCTCTGAACCATGAAACTCTTCTTAAGTCTAAACTTATTTCCAAATAATGGGTTAGACAAATAAATAATATGTCCAAAAGATAAAACAAAACAGGAAGTAAAGAATAAGACAGGGTTAAGGTAGAATCATTATTTTTAAATTCTAATTTGTTATCCATGACAGCAGAATGCATTTCAGTTCATATTACACATATAGAGCACAATTTTTCATATCTCTGATTGTATAAAACGTACATTCAGACTATTCATGTCTTCATACACCATACTTAGGGTAATGATGTCCGTCTCAAGAATTATTTTAATGTATACCAAGTCGATGCTACAGAACTCACAGTATATAATGGAAAGGAAAACAAAATCAGAAAATCAAATCCTCTAGGCTTAACTCTTCATGTACTTTTTACACGATTATCTAGCAAAATCCATTCAATTTCTTTGTGCATCAAATAATCCCATTAATGTATATGAGATAATAATAGGTTTTTAGAATAGAATACAACATAGTTTTTAGAATAAAACTTATATTCTAGAATATTATATGTTTTTAGAATATAACTTAAAAATTCCATTGAGTAAGGTTTTTACAGCATCTTATGTTATCCTAAGCATTCCTAATCCAAGTGCATTTCTAACTCACCCACTTTGGCCTATTTCCAAAGTATCAACTCCTAAATTACAGTAGCATCCTTACTTTGGAAAGTCTACCTCAAATTCTGCCTACTCAGTGAATTTTTCCTGATGACACTAGACATTATTGATGATTCCTAATTAGATTTTTTAAATTATCTGAATCACACAATCATATTATTGTACTAGTTTATTATGAATGTATGTGTAAATCTATTTATGATGTCCCTATAATTCCATCAGATGATAAAACAATGTCCCTGAAAAGTGTTATTATTGGTATAAGGTAATTGTTTGACATAATGTGTTGAAAAATTAAGTTTGGGCTTTTTCTCAATTATGTTAAAACACATCTCAGGGATGGTCTTTCCAATAATTTATAGTCTCAATCTAATTATAAAAAATGTCAGATAAAACTGAGAGCCATTCATCAAAATACTTGATCAATACTCTTCAAAAGTGTCAAGGTTATGAAAGACAAGGAAAGATGTAGGAATGATACAGACTTCAGAAGATTAAAGGGAAATGAAAACTAATTCCAATGCATGCTACATAGAATTCTGAAAGCAAAGTCGAATAGAATGGAAAACTGATGACATCTATAGTTTGGTTAATAGCATCTCACCAACATTAATTCAGTTCTGATCATTGCACCATGGTTATGTAACATGTTTGCATTAGAAGAACCTGGGTGAAGAGTATACAGAATTCTCTGAACCATGAAACTCTTCTTAAGTCTAAACTTATTTCCAAATAATGAGTTAGACAAATAATAATTTATAAAATTAAAAAAATAAAGATGAATGGTAATACGTTTAATGTTAATTATTGCTCAACAGATGGTAAAGTGGGTGGTGCTTTCTACTTTTTAATAGTTTTTATATTTTAATATATATATATAGTATTTAATTAAATAACTGATATATTAGAAGTCTTAATGTTAATGAAGCCAATCTAACATCTTATCCAACATACTTTGTAACTAGTTGTTATAATATTTGATTTTTTGTTTTAATGCTGGCAATGTCTTTGTATGATGGTGGATTGTTAAAAGAGTCTCAGTCAGTTGACCTAAACACCTCTTTTGATGTTGAGGAGTAACTCTGAAAGGAACACATCAGCATGACATTTATAATTGCACTACAGTGTAGATTTTACACAGGTTTTTCCCTTTGTGTTTCTAATACTCTTTGTTTACTTCAAAGTTACTGCATCAAAGTTACTACAATTAAATAACCTGATGCCACTGAGTTTCTCTTTTTGCATTTACTCCTGTTAAGAATTAACCAATATCTCATATTCTCACAAAAATGTCATATCTATACCCTTTTAGTTTATTCTCAATGTGAAATTCCCCCATCACATTCTTCTGACAGTTTTGTGGACTTCTAAGCATATTAATTTCTTAGCTTACTGTTGACATCATCTTTCTACATTTCTTATGGATAAGGCTCATATTCTCTGGACACAGTCATGACTTCCATGAGGTGTGGTAGCATCCATAGGATCACTTTTGGCATTTTTTATCAAATGTACAGGTCTATACATAACTCTGTGCCTGGATGTGATGCATGGGTATTAAGGATTTGAGTTTGCCTCTGGACTTCTATTCAGCTGTTTTACTCCTGGTAGTCATGGTAGAGTGCCAAAGCTGTTTTGTTTGCTATTATAAAATTTTATAATCTTTCCTGGAGGTTTTCTCCTTCCTTAATTGCTGAGAGCCATGGCCGAGTCTGTATGGCCCCTGGCATTTTGCCAATAGTATTGATTGACAGGCGAGGCATTACTACCTGCTTCTGCCACTACTTTTGAGTTCTCACACTATTTTGGAGTTCTCCTGGGGATTTCTGGGGATTCCCCGAAAGTTCCCATTGGTTAGGGAAGTGCAGGAGGGGGGATTTCCGGGAGAGATATTTCCAGCTGGGGGGTTCCTGGAGGAGGCGCGTAGTGTTCGGGAGAATTCCCCGGGAGCGTGGGTGAAGTGTTTTCTTGTAGTTCAAAAATAAAGTTTGTTCCTGCTTCAGTGGCTCGTGATTGTGCCCAGCCAGACTGCGGCACTTAATGTCATTTACATCCGCCCAGATACAGTACTCAGCCCTTTTGAAATCCTCTAATTTTAGTTGCCATAATATTTCACAAGATACAAGGTGTTTTTCTTCCTTATCCCTTTTGAAGAGGTCTGAACTTCATATAGACAAATCAAACATAGTTAAGTTTTTAAAATTAAGCTAACAATTCCTTTCCAGTATCTTACTCCACCTCCACAACCTGTGATGAAGAGGAAATAAGAAAAGTAAATATCTGTTCTCTCAATGCTTCCAGGGATTTCAAATATACATCCATACCACAATAATGTTTTAATAAATAAGCCATAGAACTCACAAGAGTCAGGATCATGGATCTTGGCATCCTCAGCGAGACAGTTCAGCTATAGAAAGATCCATGACAGCACTGGGTCAGAGGGACACATGGCTTCTTACAAAATAGGAAAACAGATGATTTGGAGTGTTAGAGGGATGGATATGGGTGGTGAATGAGGCTGGAGAAAGAGATCCGGATGAAAATCTTAATTTTTTTTTTTACTTCTCAAATATGCTAATTCTAGAATTATTTTGTGATTTTAAATTTCAATGAGTATCCTATCAATTTTGATTATATAGATTAGAGTTATAGGTATTACCATATTATAAATTAAAATTAAATTTCAGATTGTTATTATTTAATTTAAAAATGACTTTAATGAGCACAGTATAACTTAACAAAGGATATTTTATACAAAATAATAGCTACATTTCCCAAAACATAAAGCTTAGTGATTAGAGTTACAATTTCACATTTTAAAGAGCTATATAAATGTCCAGCTTAATAGAAAACAGTTTTCTCACCTATGCTTCTACTTTCCATTTGTTACAGTATTTTTTAGTTGAAGTATGTAAAGAGAGGTTAGTCCCACACAAATTTTAGTTTCTCAACAAGTCTTTCTCAAGGAAACAGTATTTAATAGACTTTTCAAATTATTGGATATTTTGTGATGATACTCCAAAATTTGATTAAAAAATTTTATAAAAACTAGGTATAATACACAATCAAAAAGCACATGAATTAGTTTTTTGCATGATGATTTTAAAATATATTTCTTTCATCTTGAATGAATCTTTTATTCATTCATGATATCATGCCATTGTTCACCTGTTATTTGGAAGAAATAAATTCACTTAGTTGCAGATCCTTCAAAAGGTGACTCGTTTTTTCCACATAATTTAAAAAATGTCATTTACTATTCTTATCATGAAATATTTTATTTTTA